TCTTTTTTTTCAAAAAAAAGAAAGTCAAAAATATTATGAAAAAAAGTCTATAATAAAATAAGTTGTTGTTGATGAACATTCAAAACAGTTGTTTAAGTAATAACCAACATATGAATACTCAGGACAAAGAAGAAGAAGAATCAAGAACCAAGTTTCTAAAATTTTAATATTATCACATACCCTCCAAATTTATAACTTTATACAAGATTGATGCTAGTATAAATCACATTATTCAAGAACGAATGTGCCTAACAACACTTACATAATTGCAACCCAACAATAAAACATAATAATAATAATAATAATAATAATACATGGTTGAAAACTTCAATGCTATGTTTTTTTTTTTTTTTTTTTTTTTTTTTTTTTGATACTATTAATAAATAGATGGGCATGGTCTTCCTTGAAGTATATGGGCTTCATAAAAGAGCTGTGATGAAATTGCAAAATCTTGCTATGCCCATGTTAGTTTCACAACTAAAATCAACCTCCTCTCCCTACAAGGTTGGAATTAGAAACACTTGTTCATTGGTGCCCACAATAAAAAATAATCAAAAAAATAATAAAAAGGGGAAAATAAAAAATAAAAAATGAAGGAAAGTTTCCACAATGGACCAATTCTAAGAAGGCACAAACCCCAACAAAAAAATAAGTATTTTTGGCTTGGTGATAACTACAACTATGATGCCGCCCTAGAATTGCATGGCATCTCTCTCTCTCTCTCTCTCTCTCTCTCTCTCCTTCTCCCCTCAATGGGATGACAAGCCCAACTTCACACAAGTCACCTCCTCCTACATAACTCCATGTGACGTTCCATCCCCATGTGTTTTTGTGTTTTATGTTTTATTCCACAAACACAATAAAAAGAAGAAATTATTTGACCCCCTAGCCATAATTAAGCACAGCTAATGATAGAATGGTAGAAGGCGCTGGAAGTGGGGTTTGCAATGGTATGTGAATGCTGGATCTTACATTCCTTGAGCCATCCAGTAGTGTTATTTTTAAAAGCATAAATCCCTGAAATAAGAAGTTGCATGCAAACTTTGTTGTCAAGGAACCTGGAGACAGTTCTCTTTGGCCTGTGGTCCTTTTTGGGAGAAAAGGTCAGAGGCCCTGAGCCACAAATGTCCTTGGAGAATGCACACCAAAAAAACCACCATGTGCACAGTCAGCATGCCACCTCAGCAAATTTGGACTCTGGGTCGGTGAGACTTGCCCACGTGGAACGCCTCTTTCAATTCTATTTTACGTGAGATCATTTGCATCACAAAACAAAAGAATAAACAAACAAACAATACAACAGAAAACAGGATCGTGTGTATAAAGAATGTTTTTGGATGCTATCAGAATACAGTTTTATGTAGGGCTACGTTTGAATTGTGCATTAACCTTTAACAGATTGGGTCCGCTACCTACTGCTGTTTTATTGTTTTCTCGATTGGGCGTTGCAATCACTTGTCTCGAAAACATAATTCCATGCAAGCTTTGTCAGAAACATTCCAGCAAATGCTAAATCAATAAATAAATATAATAGCGAAGCAATAATAATAATAATAATAATATCATTAGTGGCATTATTGCTGTGACATTAATTGATTGCTTTTTGTTTACGGTGGGTCATTTTTTAATCCTTTGCTGGTCCTAGAACTTTTCTTCAAATTTCACCAAGCTCAGCACGGATCCATGATAAAAAAATAAAAAAAATCTTTACTTGGAGAAGATAGTATTGTGGATTTTCACAACGTTCATCTGCAATGCTTGCATCATGCTTTTCAAATATCTAGCTGTTTCGAAACGAAATACTTGTAAATATATATATATATATATATATATATATATCTGTGTGTGTGTGTGTGTGTGTAAATTGCAATTTTGGGAAGATATTTCTGAATTTATTGGGCGTTTGCTGTTTCGAAACCATGTGGTAGTTCTGGTGACGAATATCCTGATGCCAGCTTGAGGAGTGCGTTGCGTTGCGCATGTTCATGAATCAGGTTTGTGTTGTTGCGGATCTCTTACAGAATGCCAAGGCAAGGAAAGCACCATTGCTCATGTGCAAGAAATGAACCTGAATGTCAAATGAAACACTAGGAGTTAGTGTACCAGAACAGCGGGCGATGTGAAAGGAGGACAGTCTGGAACAACCAGTATGTGCACAACAGGTGGATGGATTCGGAGGTGGTCCAAGAGGTTTCATAGCACTGCGATTGGGTAGTTCTCCAGTTCTGTCAACACTTCCAAGCACGCATCACTCCATCCACATCTCCTGTTTCCTGCCCAGAGCTTGGCACACGACGTTTCAGCAAAATCCAAACGGGCATCGGTATTGTGACCTTGAATTCTGGCATGTGTCACAAGCCAGTGTAAAGCCTTGTCGTTGTCACAGAACCACCAATCCCTGCTCATGAAACTTCCACAGTTAAGTACTAGTTTGTCCCTGATAGGAAACGCTAGGCCACAACGTCCACCTTGATGTGTCTCATGCTCTGGAAACTCGATAACTCCTGTACACATTTACTTCCCGTACAAAGCCTGCTGCATCGTATGCAGACACACGAGGACATGTTTCCTGTACGTTTCCCCTAGCAGAGAGGCACAATGCTTTCAACAACGAAATGGGAACCCCGAGTAATGCAATGAAAATATTCATAACCTGCAGTGGGTGCCACGATGCCACAATAGTGCGTTTGCATTTGTGAGAAAGGTACCTTGATGGGAGCCAATAAAGAAGCCGGGAGAGGGAACTTCTGAGGAAAGGGACCGGAGAAGTCTGGCAGGGTAACTGTGCAGATTTTCCTCCACACCTATCGAGACAGTGACATAGTACATCTCCGTTTCAGCCTGGAGTCAGGCTCAGGGAATCATTATGTGTAACAAGAAAGGTGTCGGATCGCTCTTGCCTTCAAAAGTAATCTCCCTTCACAAGATGAATCAGTTCCAGATCAAACCTTGTCACTTTACCAACCCCGGAGAGTAACAGTTGCGGAAATTGGGCTCCACGTAGCCGTTCCTGCATTTTCGGCAAATTGCGTTGTAGGTGAAGTCTTGGGCCAGTAGGTGTGAGCGTCCCTGAATTTCCGAAGGATACTTAACGGAAGAAAGCTTTTGCATTCGAAGGAAACAAGCATTAAGTTTGGCACATTCGAATGTCATCTCAGCCCGAGGTTTGAAGTGACGATCCCGGTGTCTTCTTCTCTACGAATCCTTACGCTTCATCTCGAATGAGTTGAATGCAAGCAGTGTCACAATCCTAGAAATCAAGTACTATGTGGTTCCACACCTTTATTCGTAACCCAACACGATAAAAATTCTTTTGGGAGAAACATATGGCACCAGAATCAAGATGTAACCAGAATTCTGGTGCACATTGACACGAGTCTCTGTGGAATCATTTAGGATTACCTACTACATAGCGGATAGACGTATACTGTGACAAACCATGGACTTCGAGTCAAGGAAGACTATCACCAGTGCTGAAGAATGTCCTAATACAAAATATAATTGCTTAGTGGTGCCGTGTCATTCTTAGAGAAGTTTGTGGCAACACCATCGATCATTCTCACTCAGATCAGTGTTTCTTGTATCTCGATACTATGAACCTACACATCTCCCTCTTCGGACCGTCGATTCAGTCTCTGCATGCTTACAATTACAAGATGACGATTTACAACTAAAAATTTAAATAAAACGAATTTTCTACAGATATTTATCTATCAATGGAGTCTCAAGCTCATGTCAACAACTTACGTATGTTTACCCTTAATCCTACTCCTCTTCCACCTCACCACAGCCAATCCTTGTCTAGCGATGACAATTTACTGTGTTTCCTGCTGCAACCTACTATGCCCCACATGCAGGAAGTTCGTAGAGAAAACCCACGATGAGAATTATCTCACACACTGCATGGAACTCTACTCAATCACGGAAAAAAGGGCATGTCGCAAGTACGGTGAAGTGATGCGGAAAGAAAGCACAGAAAAGTTAATAAGCTAGTAAGTTGATGTGGAGGTGTCCAGGGGGAGAAACAGATTATCTAATGGAGTTATTCACGCCAACTTCCACAGTGCGCACCACCTCGGCATTAAATAGATCCTCACATGGACAATCAGCTGGAGAACCAGAGGAATGCTCAGGAGAATTGCGGCAGTGTGTGCACTGAATAAGAGGAGCATGAATGACCAAACCCGTGTTAAATCCTATGTTGTATTCGTTTTGTGAGAAATTGCCGTCGTGTATCAACTCGTTCTCGTGTAAAGAATTAGGGCACGTTACGTTTAGTCCCCTAGGAATCGTTATGTTTCGACGTATGATTGACACATTGTTGACGTTCGAAATCATGTCGAGTCTACGGATACACAGGAAAAAAATTACAGTTTGCTGCCAATGGCATATTGAAGACTCGTGTTCTGATGTATTCAGGTTGGCTGTTCAGCCGTATGCTCATGAATCGCGACTGTATCATGAACATTGAAACGTCTCGACTTGAAATTCGACTAAGTAGAGAGTTACGACATCGCACTACCATACTAAATTCCATTAGACCGGAGCCCATTGTAGTACATAATGGAGGACTGAAAGCAGGAGCGACACATTTTCTGGACAGGGAGCCATCAGGCCTTACGCTGAGAAGCATCATAAAGAAATAATTGCTGACGATATATCACGGTGATTTGTCGGCCGTCAAACCACTGCAAAGGCTGCTTGCACAATAAACCGAAGTCACGCAGAAACGCAATGGCCTTGCAGATCTGTACCAGAATTACGCTGGACACATCAACATGTAATAAGGCGAGAAAATCGGAACTGGACACACTGAATCGGTTGATCCGTTTGATAGATTACAGTCTCTCAAATCCTCGATCAGAGTTTCATTACAAAGCTAACCTTTATATATACTGGTTAGTCTTTTTAAAACCGAATGGGTGCACTTCAATGCAGGTTTCTGAACTTCAACATCCCCCCACCCCATAAATAAATAAATAAATAAACAAACAAACACATGATGGAAAAAGAGACAGATTCTCCAACTCAGTAAATATACAATACATTCTTTGTGATGTAAATTTAAATCCAAGTGTGTGCGCTCTCTCCTCTCTCAAGTTATCAAAGCAGTGCCTGACATTAAGCCGATGGCCATATAGCTATCCTGACCTAAGCAAGTTGAGCCAATCCCGAGTGCTAAGATGAACGATTATAGCGGTGTCTAAACACCAACAGATTTTTGTAAGGAAAACCTAAAATCGTAGTACAAAACCGTAACTACGAATGCTTCAGACGACTTAAAAGAAAGAAAGAAAGGACAAACTTCATTTGGCCAGAAAAAATATTGATACATTGAGTCAGGAAGTGTAGGCATCTACACATGTGACATCACTTGCGGAACTCCATTTCCTGATGTAAGGAAAGACAAAAAGCCTCCAGTTGTCTCTTGCTCGTCGAGGAAAAGGTCATCAGGTACGCGGTAAGCACCGTGGGCAGAGCAGATAGCCCCACCAATCAGCAGAGCAGTGATCAGAATAGATCCAACACTAGTCATGAAGATCATGATAATGGTAAACAGGCTCATGCCTAGGAGAACCTCCCTTTCACTGAAAGTGCGGCCGTAGATGACAATAGGCTCAGAGCGTATGAGGTAGAGATACACCCATGCAGCAAAGAGAGCCAAAAGGAAGAAAAGCGCCCCGGGGTTGAAGATCAAGCTCAAGGCCACGACTCCAGCCAGCACAAGCGAGTAGTTAATGCGGAAGTAGTACCAATTTTTGCGAGTCCGCGTAATAGCTTCACTAAACGACTCCGGCTTTGCTAATTGCGTCCGGTCGACCAGCTCAGCCCAGGGCCGCTTCTGTGCGAGTGCAAGGTTGAACGCATCCTGAGCTTTCCCTGCAAGCACCCAAATCGTGGCCTGCGACGACGTCCCCCCTACGGCTGAGCTCCCTTGATGACTAACAGGGATTACCGGAGGCTGTGTCATAGGCGCCATGTCCGATAGAAATCCTCAAACCCTAGGTTCAAAAGCCCAACCTAACAAAATCGATCTCACAACCAAATGTTATTTTTATAAAAAGAAAAACCTTCGCCCCGCAAGAAAAATAATCCTGCAACGTCTCAGATTCCACTTCCAACGCTTACACTAGCATGACTTCCTTCAATACAACCTCAAATCTCACAACACGGATCTCCAGAGTAATTTAGCCACCCAGAACTCATAAACACTCCTAAAAAAGCTACCGAACGCTCTAGATAAGATTCTGTACCAAGTGCGAGCGAAATAGAAGGCGGATCTAAGACAGAATGTATGGGCACGATGAGTAAGTACACTGTTGTCGTGGGGGTCGAGCGGTGAGAGCTGCGTCAAATGAGATTCCTGGCCATGGCGTTGTGGGCTTCGTCACGAGAGTGCGAGGACCACCTGTATCGAGAACGCTTGGGGAACTCTTGAGGAATTGTTGGAGAACGTCGGCGAGGGCTTTGGACTGAGCCCTCCCCTGGTGGAATTGTAAGGTGCTCGGTTCCCCGTAAGTGTTACTTGTGAACATATTTTATATTTTTTTATATTTTTTATGAGGTTCCTTTACATTCTGTCTCAGGTTTTTAAAAGAAAATGCATGATGGTTCCTGAATGTTTGTGTTATAGTTAGAATCTTACTGTTTAAGAATTCATGAATTCACATATTAGAGATGTAGTAAAAATATAATAGAATTTGTAGCAATTAGTTTATGTTACGATTATATACAGCACATGCACAATCTGTAGTTGGTCACAATTGTAGGATTATTGACGCCCGGCGCAAAAACAGCCACGATCGCACAGCTTGCACTCCCGGTGGGACTCGAACCCACAATCCCCTGATTAGAAGTCAGATGCCTTATCCATTAGGCCACGGGAGCCAGTTGTATGGTGGGTACATCATTTTGTATCTCTAATATAATCTAATCTTATACACATAAAAAACTCGAAGTCGGAAAGTAGTTACTATAGCAAAATTTCGTAAGTAGGCAAGCTCTGTTGACTGATAGAATATATTGTGTATCATATAAGGATAACAAGCAATCATAAATTTCAGTGACATACAACGATCTGTTTTTTTTGGCATTTGTTGCTCTCAAAGACTTTTTTGTTAGTAAAATAGTGCAACAAGACAATTACTCATGTGTATGTTATTTTATTTTTATTTTTAAAATTTTCCTATTTCGTGTCTTTTGGTTTTTGCACCTTTACAAATTTCAAATGTAGTGATTCAAATTCTAAATATATCAATACCATCTTTGTTTTAAAAAAGTTCACAACACAATGATTTATTTAGAATTATGTAAATTAAACAGAAAGGGATCTATTTCATCTGATAATATTGAAGCAAATGTAGAGTTTGAAAGTTCCATTTGTTTATTCCATTTAATCACTAGTATTATTCAGTGATAGTAACTATGAAAACTAAAATTGAGAAATTTACATGACATTAATTCTCAAGTAAACTTTAGCTCATAAGAAAGACTGAACATTTGCTAAACACATAGTTTTTAATAGCAATATATTATAGGTATGAGATTGTCACAAGCTGTAAAGATAATAAGCTCGATGTCATCAACCATAAACTATTTGTGAACATAGCTAAAGGTCTTTGCTCACATAAGTATTGATCAGCTGTTTCAGCGCATGTGGCAACATAAAATATATCCACATACTTTTGAGGCATACCATAAGATTCTATTGTAGTAGGAGGTTGTCTCCCAATAAGAGTGAGCATTGAGTGTCTTTGATGTGAACAATTCAATCCTAACCTGCATAAGAAGCTCCAGTGCAAGAGGGTTTCGATATGGGACTTCAGTAAGAAAAACTGCGTCCACGTTGCCTACACACCGGTAGATCGGTGAGGGAATGGATGAGAATATCATCAAGCAGCGAAAAAATGCAAAACGTTCTGATACAGCACCAAAAAATGTTTGGACCATCTGACGTTTTCCAGCTGAAGTAAACATTTGGGAGCAGTCCCATTTCAACCACCGAGGAAAGACATGAGACACTGGTGCAGAACAGATGTTTACCCAGCCCACGTGCCTGAACACGCTCCAACGCCCTCACAACCCGTTACTCTGCACGGAGATATCACAAGTACGGTACGGCCGACTCCTAGAACTCCGATCTCCACACTAGTTGCTCTTTCCCCAGAAGAGAATACGTCACTCTCATCGCTGGATCCCACAAATGTGTATAACACATTATTTTTATAATCTTCTCTAGCCTAGTACGATATTTATACTTAGAAACCGGCCAGGATCATCGCCCATTTCTCGACATATCACCATGCATTAGTCGGGTCCTGGGATCACGCAAGCACAATGTACTGTGTAACAACACAGCTCCACATTAATAGAAAGGGCTGATGCAGACACATGCTGAAAAAGGGGACGATCAACAAGAGCTTGAATCGTAAGTCTCGAGTTCCTGGAGAAATGTGCCTAGGTATCAATCATATCATCATGAAGTTCACTTGGAGCGACTACTTCAGGAATACTTAGCATTCGCCTTCTTTCAGCCTCCCTTTTGTAAACCAGCTTGTTGTCCTGCACTTCATATCCACCGTTAGTGATTTCCATTCACAGCCAACTGCGTCGTGATGAAAGCTGTACAAGCTGAAGAGAGATTACTGCCGCGCAATATGAAATATTGTAGGTCTAAATTTCAGAATTGGCAGTCACGTCCAATAGCTGAAGAGAGATAATGTCATGACAGCGTTGATGGGAAATTGGAAATCGATAATAAATCCATGATCATTTGACTGGAAAACGTAAGAACCCTGATTGAATACTCTTCAGATTGAATCAAGAAATGACGGAGATGATTCTTAAAAGATCCTGACTCAACTCGGTTCTTCAACAGCCCATTTACAAATGAAGTCACCTACACACATCCGAAAAAATTAGGAAATTTTTCACCTCGTCTAATGCAACCAAAAGGGGTGTGACGTAACAGAGTGACCAACACACAACTCGAGAACTTCTAAAGTTGTGGATTTCCAGAATTCTGCGAATCTGTGAAGCTAGTGCGTATATTCAACTCATTCACTAGGTTAAATGACCACAAATCACAATAGAAAATAGCTGGCTCGAAATTGGGAAACTTATGTGACCGGAAATGATGGAGATGGAGAATCTGTATAACATGCCTCAAGAGGAGACATGTTGGAAAATGATGTTCCCAAACGCTTGATGGTCTAATTTCAAACAAATTCCACTTTACCCGTAAAAGTTGTTGGACCTGATATTGCTGCACCTCAAAGTGGTTTAGTGAGGGCCCTGAATCAACATAAACAATGTACGAACTATGTCAGAAGTGCATAGCAATCGAAACCATGGAAGCACATTTGAAGGTGAAAAAAATAAAAATAAAAATACAAGGCATTTTTTAATAAATAGATACATATGTACACCATGAAGCAGAAATGAGTTTGTAGAAATAAATACCAGATTCAATGAATGCTGGAGGATATGGGCATAAAATCCAGTAGAGCACGACAACACAATAAATAGATTTTTCCACACAAATTGCCCAGTAAACACCTCAAGGGTGCATGCAAACACAACTTCAAATATTCTAGAGAAAACATCCATCATGGCGCCCTTCAACCTGCAAAATCACTTACAGTATTAGATATATGGAAATCAAGGCAACAACAATAAAAATATGAACTTAATCACTTCGCAAGACAAGCATAAGGCAAGAAATACACGATCTTCATTTACTAATCAGTGCTACTCATATTCAGTTTTGTGTATTTTCATCCAGGGTGTTCCTTAGTATTTTCAAAAACGTCTTCGGTAAAAAGAATGCTAAGGAGCATCCTGGACGAAAATACACAAACAGCAAGAATACAAAAAGTGGTACAACTGTAATACACACTTGCTGATGATGGTTGCAAACAAAGGTGAGTCTTCAGATTCACGTGCGTCAGAGACATTGCGAGCATTATCACCCAAAATAGGATGCATCATAGTTGGCACAAAATTCTTAGCAATCAATTCCACATCTTCAGCTTTATCTGCGAATGTTTTAATCAATTTCAGCATTTCCCGCTTGACAGATCTTCAGATAGAATATTGTTTGAAATATTTCAAAGATTAAAATTCACTCGCATGTCAACGTCACATTCATAGATGATCACACTGCTAGTGATCAAAATACGGATAAGTCCGGATAAAGTCTCAAGCAACTAGCACGTAATGTTTACACATCTTATAACCCTTCGGCTGAGACATCACCAGTCATTAAAGTAAATTAACCTGTTCATACAAAGTTCGAATCCAAATCGTCCAAATGAGAGGAAGGAAAGAGGGGAAGGTTGTGTGTATACGCGTGGAATTGTGTGTGTGTGTGTGTGTCTGATGGTGGTGGTGGTGGTGATGGAGGGCTGGTATATGGAGAGGGATTATAACTCCTAAGCAAACCAGGAACCTACAGCATCATACAGCCAGGATGCAGCTCACTACAATAAGCACCATGTACTGATTTGTGAGTAACCATACCTGAACAAGAATGATATTCGGTTTATTCACATAGAACCGTTCTGCCCAAAATGACGCTTCATTCCTAAAATGCTGAATTAAACAAATTTCAGTGGACAGGACACATAGGACTCTTGAGTGAGATAGTGAAGCCACAAAAAATAGAAGTTTCAAATCTGTAAGATACGAAGCAAAGCATTTGTAAACGAGCCATTCATGCAAGATTCGAGAACAAGTAAATACAAATCTTTCGATTGCTCAAAACGAGGGAACCTCAAGATCAAAAAGTGCTACAAAATCATTCAACCTGCACGATATGATGTGATATATAGTTCTTGATGACATCGCATTGCTCTATAGGTAGTGAATCCCATCAATACTTGAGTATTTCCTCCAGCACCTTCACCACAATGAACAAAAGTATACAATCAGCATCTAAAATGAGGCGAGGGAATAACATAGACCAACTGATCTGGTCTTCCAATGAACATGAAAGCTCTGAACAGATCCATCAAATTGCCTGCAACATACTTAGATACTTAGATCTGCGCCACATCAAATTGCTTTCTGTGCACCATTACATAATTTCAAGTATTTGAAAGGTCAGCAGATAATGTGTATATGACCTAATCACTAACTCAGAACCATGCCTTAGACCATGAAGATGACTAGCTCTATCGGTAAAAATATTTTAATCTATTGTACAAACATATAGGCTATTCATTGCAGTGATCATCATTCGCGAACTTGTGAGGTTAGAGTAAACCAATTCTTCACACTTCTAGCTTAAAAAAATAAAAAAACGAGTTCTGGACAGCTAACGATCTTACTATAACAGCTAACACAAAAAGATCTCCAACTTCACAAAGCTTCAGCGGCACTAAGATCTGCACAAGTCTAACCCTGAAGATTAATGGATTTTCGTAAATCTCAGCAGCTTCCAGAACTCAATTGCATTGGCGATAATTTACAAGTTCTGAGTTGATAATAAAAGGTTAAATATTCTAAACAATACTCCGAGATAGAATCACGATCAGTATAAGAGCTCAAAACAAAGCGAACGGGATGAACATTGCGCTATGCTCACTTGCATGGATTTCTCTCACATTATGAACATGATTCATGAGAAACAGAGTAAGCAAAAAAAGAAAAAAAAGAAAAAAAAGAAAACATGAGGTTCGTTTCAGATTGGGCTTGAGCTGATGTCATCGGTGAAGATAAGTGGACATGGGATGTGATTTATTTGCTATGTGTTGTAAAAGTATGTTTTTTAAAAAAGAAATAATAGAGGTTATATTTTGTGAATATTGCATCGTGTAGATTTTACTGTTATTCATGTCTGAATGTGATGCAAACAATAGACTGAAGCAGTGTGTTGCGATTAACTTTGAATACTGATATTAATGATAATAGTAATAATTTGTAATCATGATGTGATTTTAAAACCAAGGTTCCTTACAGCAAATAAATATATTATTATTAATCTTTTAATCGAATGCTGATTAATATCTAGGATTTATATAAATAAATAAGAGTGTTGGTATCTCTCTCTCTCTCTCTCTCTCTCTCCATCTCTCTCTAAATATATATATATATATATATATATATATGAAGGGTATTGGTAATCGTCAACTTCAAAAGCTTCGACTAATAAAAATAATGATTTATAATTTTTTCCTAAATTTCATAATTGCATCAAAATTTGATAATTCTTTTTAATATGTTTTCTTTGATAAATTTTTGCTTCAAGTTTGGTTATAAATAGTATGTTTAAGAATGTTAATACACATTTTCAATAACTTATTCATTCAAAACAATTTTTTTTTAGTTGAAATAAATAATGGTTCTAAAAAAATTTAAAAATAAAATCATATCATACATATCAATTAATTCTAAGAAACCTTAACCTTTGACCAGGATTTTATTTTTTTCATTTTATTTTTTGTTTTTCATATTTTTATATTCAGAGATCCTTAAATCTCTTCTAGTTTGATCTTCTTTCTTCTTTGATAACTATAACAGACTGGTTTTTATTCAAATGATGGATTTCAAGCTACCACTTCTTTTCAAAAGTTATAATAACTTGAAATGTTTCAACTATTAATAAAATATCCGCATCTCACACCCATACAGTAAATATATATTAAAAAAATCAATATAAGAAACAACGAGCACACCAAGAATTTTTTTTGTTTTGTTTATTTTAATTGCAAACACATACCATAGAATCAAGCAACTACATTTACTCTTTCAAATGGACTAAGTAAACTTATAGTTGAACTCAATAATTGCAACATGAAAAAAATATAAACAATGAAATAATAATATGAAGGAAACCATGTCAGGAAACAAATCCAACATTTTGATTGAAACTTATTTTTATATTTTGTTGATTGTTGAGATTTTTTTTCAAAAAAATTAAGAATGAATAAAAGTTATGTTCACAGAGAAATATTCAAAAAAATAAAACTATCATAATTTTCAGACACTATTCCTAGCCGTGAAGAGCAACATAAGAAAAAAACCAATATATATATATATATATATATATATATTTGTGTGTGTGTGTGTGTGTAATATTTCTCGCTGTTAAGAAATGGTTAAAAGTAATGGAATGGTACAACGACCGCCATAAGACAAACACAAGGTGTTCAAAATATCGACAACGACTGCCCGCGGGCACCCAGCCGGGCAGCCGTAACCACTCTCGGCTGCGCGTCCACAGCGCTTCGACAACCACACACACGAAGAAGAGTTTGCATTGCGCTCTGCTTCCATGGTGCAGCAGCAGCACCATCACCACCCCACCCTCGGAACGGATCCTTGTGGCACCATCGCCATCGACATTGCTTGCGCCCATTGCTGCCCTACTGCTTCCCCTTTCGCCGTGAGTAGTCAGGGACCACCGCTTCCCTTTGAAACCGTTTCGGGATTTCTGTGAGCTTTTTGCGCTTGCCGTATGGACACACTATGCACAGTGTGTTTTGGTTTCGGTTCGGGTGGAGCACGCGAAGTTTTTCTCTAGGGTTTTGGAGTTTGAGAGGGTCTTAGGGGTTCATCACGTGAAGTTTGCGTTCAGGTATTCTTTAGTGACGCAATTCGAGTTTTAATTGGCAAGATTTTGATTCTGATGCTGTGGAGCAGTTTTGCGTTTCGGTTCCGGAGTGCTGAGTGTGCTTCTTTATTCTTTGCTTCTATTTGTAGATGATTATTTGCGGGAATTCTTTGATGAATGCTTGAGATGATTGCGGGTTCTGATTGTTGAGCATTGGTGCTGCCTGTGGAAGTTGTCCATGTGCAATGTAGTGATGAGCAGTTTCTGCACATTAGGGTTTTAAGGTCCTCAGACATTCCGGCCTTGCCTTGGCGTTCCTTATTGTATTTGAGGCTCTGGTTACGCAGAATCGTGCTTTTGGTTGGTTCCGGAGCATTGTAAACGTGGTAACAAATATGCTGGTTACATTGGACACTGAATTTTTTCCGAGGCTGTGTGTTCTAAGTATTCGAATTGCTTGGACTATTTTGTCTCAATAGTATACGACATGAATAATAACCTTCTGAAAAGATGCCCGGACTTTCTTAGGTCCCTTTTCTTGACCACACATAGCTCGAGGTCACTGGTCTTATTAGTAATTATTTGGCTGTGCTGGTCACTAATGCTAAGTTTGCATGATGTTGCAGTGGACTTCCCGTGAACGTAATTTTTAAACAATAAATCAGATAGCGGATCGTTCTGAAGATTCTCACCTGTCGGAAGCTCTTGAATGGCGGACGAACTAGATGATGACAGGGATGAGGAGTGGTTCAAAGAGGTATATGGTACAGAGTATATCGGACCTCCTCGTGCCGCAGGGGCTATGAGACGAGGGGCTGAACCGGCGCTACCTAAAGTGGTCAACAAGCGTGCTCCCAACCCGAGTGATTCCGAAGAGGATGATGAACCACGAGATCCCAATGCAGTTCCTACAGACTTTACCAGTCGGGAGGCAAAAGTTTGGGAGGCCAAGGCCAAGGCCGTGGAGAGGAACTGGAAGCGTAGAAAGGAAGAAGAATTGACTTGCCGGCTTTGTGGCGAGGTTGGGCACTTCGCCCAGGTAAGCGTTTTATTGCGGAGGATTTTTTGTTCGAAGACTTTCTATGTGTGATAGAAGAACGTTCATCCGTTGGTTGCGACGGAGTTTGGTAGTGTAGCGTAGATTTTGATAAGGTATCGCAAATCGACTTCTGGAACGTGTCGTGGAGGTCATCTGTTTCATCCGGATGTCGCCAGGAAGCGGATAAAGCTTCTGGGGTCACGAAGGGTGTTTTACCTGGACGACTGTGGCTTGTCCAATTGCATAGACTAAGTAAGATGGAACTGTCGTGATGATTGTTGGATAGTTTGCTTGCACCACTTCGTGCTCAATGGTGAAGAATATCATTGCACTCGTATGCAGGGGTGTCCAACGACACTCGGTGGCAATCGAAAGCCTGGAGAAATAGTCGAACGTATTTCACTTCGTGATAAGCGATTAAAGCCTCGAATCATAGGCACCGGGGGTGCCATTATACAGGGGATCGAGAAAGAGACTGGTTGCCGGCTAAAGGTCGAAGATAACTTGACCGTTGGAAACGGGACCTTTTTTGTGAAGATTACGGGCCCTGATAGAGTGGCAGTCAAAATGGCAGTGACATCAGTGAATAAACTTGTAGATCAAGTAGAAGATGAGTGGAAGCAACAAGCTGGACCTAGGAAGTTACAGGGAAGAGATCGGGAAAGAGATAGAGGAGGAATTTATCTGGGGGGGAATGCGGCCCTTAGTTCTATAAATGCTGGTCAAATGCAGCACATCGGAGTCAAAAGACATCAACACGATAACAACGTTCTAGGAGGTACTGTTCGCAGGGGAGACCTGATCACTCCACCATTGGACGAAGAAAAGCGTACGATTGAGCATATAGCATCTCAGCTGGAGGCTCGTAGGCACTGGGAAACTGTATCAGGCTCTTCTCAGCAGTCCTTGAATGGCTCTTATAAAGAGGGTAAGTCAAGCCCTTAGCCCTAAGTACACCATCGTACGAGACTCTTTAGAGTAGTCCTATTGAGAAAGGGTGTAGCAAGTTCCTGGTATGACTTGAACATTAGTGGCATGCATGCTCCCCACGAAAAGAAGATGGAAACCACTGATCCTTTCATTTGAAGCTACCATATGTAGCTCCCTCGCTGGAGCACATCAGGTAAGTTTCTGCCCGACCGATAATCTCGCACTATTAGGTTAATGTGGGGAACCGATTGCATATATGCCTCACCAAGGCTCAACCAGTGAGTGTTAAGCAGCAATACTAGTGGTCTGAGAGTTATGAAGATCACCCTGGTGCGGTAAGTGATCATCTTCCCTTTTATCTGTGCGTTGGGATTAAACGGTGTAGCCCCCCTCAGCGCGACCCATTCAGGGGAACCTCATGCTTTACCCCTCATTTTCGTGAAGGCCGCTCTGCTTCAGGAGTCGGGAGCTTGGCACCAACTCTGCCTGGGAAAGTAGATGGCGGGAGTGCATACTACCCAGACTGTGCTTTGTCATACCCTAGGCAGGCTGAGCAAGAGTTGGAGATGGAGCTGGAGTATGATGTACAGAGCTTGGATGAACTTGAACGTCGGTTCCTGGAGGAGACTATTGAGATCACCAAGGATCAAAACAAGGAGGAAGACAAGGAAAACTCTCGTCACCGCGAGGTTTGTTCTGATGTTTAGAACCTTCGCTTCATTGTAGCCGTATCAAATCTCTAGGTGTATGGTGCTTTGATTTGGTTCTTAAATAGTATTCAAGTTTTACCATGACGCACCTTCAAAACCAATTGTCAAGTGTATGACTGGAGGTCCTGCATTAAACACTTGGTCATGACCTTTGTGGTTTATGCTGCCCATGTATACTTGCCATAAAGAATGTATTTATTGCAAAAACGCTGACGCGATGTCCTATTCTCATTCATGTACGGATACGAGGACGGACTCATGACGCTACTCGGCCTGATTGCTCTTGCAGACGCTTCGAGAAATTCAGGAGCAGTTTCAGCAAAAGATGACCAAACTCCGAGCAAAACAAGCCAAGCAGCGTGAAGATTTTTTGCGGGCTGAGGCACATATGCGATATCAGACACCAATATCAAATTACTCACATTACCAGTATGGGGGTTCTGGGGGCTCGGTGCAATCGGCATCATCTTGTGGCAGACCTACTTCAAATTACCTTGACCCTTTACCTTCCCGTTCTGTTTCAGCATACTCTGACCCTATTCCCCAATATGAGGGTTCTTATGATTCCAGCTATGACAAAGTTTACGAACAAAACCCGACGGAGCCTTTGCAGGCTATTCGAGCAACTTCTTACGACTCTTATACAGAGGCTCCATATTCTTCAGGATCAACTTCTTATAACAGAAAGCAAGGATATGGCAAGCCAGGTTATGATAACAGTAACGTGTACAACAAATCTCAAGTGTATGACACTAAACCCTACTCATATGGAACTGCTGCCCAGTACCCTGCCTATGGTTGATGATCTAAGGGTGGAGGTGGGAGGTTTATCAAGGGTAACTGAATAAGTTGCAAGTCTTTCGTGAAGACACCGCCCCCCTCCCCCTTCCTCATTTGTCCTAAAATTCCTGACCTTCGACTTCGAATTTGACAATGTACGTCCCGTCAGGTCAGTTACAGAACTGCAGTAGAGTGATATGCCAAATTTTCCCTGCCACTTGGACGTTTTCATACCACATGAATTTGCGTATGACTGGTTATTTGAAGTCTCGTGGTAAGGCTTGAAAGATGGAACGACGAGGAAATTTAGTATGTAAGGTTTTCTGTATCTAAATGACGCAAGTTTCCTGAGGGTGTGATATATGATAGTTCTGCATGTGACGGTCATGCTTTTGAACACAAATTCCTTACTGCTAGAAGCAGCAGGGGCAATTTTTACAGCAAGCAGACAGATGATTAGTAGGCCAACATGACGAGTACAGAGTGGGTTGAACCCTTCTACAGCATCGAGAGAAGCCTGCGAAGCTGTAATCTCTGCCTTAATGTGATTGTGCAGGTTGACTTGATCTGTCCTCAGCTTTGCTCATTCAACTTCTTCAGCATTACTGCCACAGTGGAACTTTGTACTTTGCACGTGGTGTTCACTGATCTGCATACCCTAAGCACGAACTTACCACGGATTTAGATAAGCATGTGCAAATCTTTGAGCTGCACACTATTAAATAAGTTAGTGATAGTGGCAATTTTTGACCCCGGAACGTGTCAAGGTACACAATTTTTAAAATTTTGAACAATTATTGGCTTCGATTGCCTCTCAGCTTCACAGTCACTTCCCTGGGGTTCATGGGTGTGCACTCAGTGGAGATGTATCATACTAATATCCTGTGCTGGTGGGGTAGGCAAGAATGGCAATGGCATGCCTTCCATTTTGACACGTGTACACTTTGGTTGTTGTGCCTATTCCCAATCGGGTTAGCTTATCTGTTGCAGATCTGTCATTCGATTGCGCCCGTTGTGTTCTAGTTTGTGTGGAGACCATGGCCCTGCTTGTAGTCTTTCGGTATTTCTTCTCGTGGTCCCTTGCTACTGGTACTTACATGGGCTCTTTCATGATTGTGCCCGCATCCTCGCAGTGCTCTTGTCAAGACACGTCGTGCGAGCGCCCAATGACTCTTCCATGCTGGCACTATGGGCTTCTTCTATTAGGTGTTCTGAGACTTTTCAATATAAACGTCATTTGCTAATTATATTCTATAGGAACTAAAAAAAGGAAATTCACTGCTGAGTCAGAATGCCAACTTTTGTATGTTTTATTCAAGCGAATTTAACGACTCCCTGTATTGAAATGCACTTTGATTGCGTTCTAAGCAATATACCAACTTTTAAACTTTCAAATGTCAGCATTGATAGAAGTTAACCTATTTTAATATTTCGTATAGACCGAATTCTCAAACCCTAGACATATATATATATATATATATATGAATATGTATATCCAATATCCCACATCCTACAGTTAGGATAAAGAAGAGAATGTGGGATATTTGATATGCTTACCAACTTGGATATTAAGTTTAAATTACATTCTTGGCTTTCATGACTACAAGCAAGACAAAGAAGTGTACAAATGTTTCCTTGATAGGAGCAAAATCTTCAATTGTGTGGTATAAAACCATAGATTCAAAATTCATGAAGTTTACATGTAAAAAAATAAAGCAAAATGAGGAAAGAGTTGAAGGAGCCGCATGATATTAAGTTAGTGTATATGCACGACAAGCCAACAATCAAGTAATAGAAGGATTCTACGCACAAGGCTTGAATAAGAAAGGGCTCACTGTAAAAGCATTGGGTCCACTTCAAGTCCATTTCATAATCATATTTTCCTCAAGGAGAAACTCTAAACATCATAATATGAGGAACAAAGTAGTCATTAGGTCGAACGTCAGAATTTCAGTATATGTGCCCAGAAAATCGTTGTTGGAGTCATCCCATACTTACATACGATTCCCCATATATGTTAGATGATAATAGAGACGGAAATGGGCAAGATGGGAACTCATTCTTATGTAGTGACATTCCTATAGAACTCATTTAAACACAATAACCCCATTTGAATTATTCTGTCCCACTATCAGCTCAACATCAAGCGAAAATGAAGATGGAAGGCATATAGCGACTTGATATTAACATCATGTTTGCATTAAAGTTTGTGAGTCAGTTAAGAAAGGATATGCAGACTGTCAGCAGGTCAAATCACAACAATCACATCATCTGGTTCGGGCTGCAAGGAATGAAATGCCCAAGCTCACCCACAGCCAAAAGCAACAAACCCTAAAAGCCACCCACTAAAAAGCTTCGGAGTCTGTGTGTTTGGATCTAAACGAGGATTTGCAGATGTCAATGGCGGCACTTTGGACCCGCAGACCTTCTAGTTCTGCATGAATTGTCGAAATCTGTGCCGGGGTCTGGGTTTAGGAAGATGGGTGGGTGGATGTTGGTAAGTGGCGCGGCGTTAGATTCGAAGACCAGGCCCGGAGACAAGCATCCATGGGAGAAAAACAAACTTTGTTTTATTACCTCGGAGTCTGGTTAGTTACTGATGCGAGAGAAACGGAGGTCGGATACACGTCCGCATATGCTTTCGTTCATCACATTCGATCATGTGATGTCGATCGATAACTTCCCCTCCACCACAGCGAGTCGTTGTCTTGCAATGCCATCCACACTGCTGTTCCTCTCCGAATTAGTCACGGTGAGGAAAACAAAGCAAGGCGAGCCCTGCATGGGCGAATGGGTTGCCACCGCGTGGCGCAGACAAGACCCAATCCGCGACAAATGAAGCACACAAAGAGCGCCCGAATAACTTCCGTGCGTGAGAAGCGAAACAAAGTGTTGGTTACAGTGATTTTTTTCAGTTTTGACCCCCCCTCCTGCTTAAAACAAACAAAGAACAACAACAAATTTATCTGAGAGCGTGGGATACCCTCCTTGATGACTGGAGGAGCATGGCCACCGTAGTCTTGTGGAATACGCGACATGCTGGTCATACTGGAATGGGTACCAATGATCGCCCACGCCAATTAAGAAAAAACGACACCAGCAGCGGTATGGTTATGAACCATGGGCCGAGTCTTGCGCTGTGCCTTGGATGGGGCTACAAACGCTACGGGACGGAACCTCCCCTTTCCACCCTTCTCTCTCTCTCTCTCTCTCTCTCTCTTTCTTTCTCACTTGCTTTACCTCGGGGAGCTTATTTATTGATTTGGAGGCACTGGTGCTGTGGATTTTGGGTGTCGTTGGGGTTTTTGTTCTGTCGGTTGATCGCAACTGGTTGCATGTTTTGTGAGGGTGGCGACGACGTTTTGACGAGGTTCGTGATAGTGGACGAGCTAACGATCCGGCGAGGTTTGGCTTATTGAAGTTTCAGTGGTGGGGATGAGGTTGCGGGATGAGGAGGGAGAATTCGGGGGTGGTGGTGGTGGGAGTGATGGAAGTAGCTTAACAGGAGGGGAGTGTGTGTGGGTGGAGGATGAGTAACTGTGAGAGTATTTTGTTGCGGAATTAGGTACAGCTTCTGCTCGAGGGTTGAGTGCACTCAGTGGAGGTGCGCCTCTTGGAAGTTCGAATTGGAGGAATGGAGCGCATTGTGATGCTGTGGGCGTGGTATTCGATAATCAACGATTGGTTTTTATGTTTTTAGTGGCGGGACGAGGTTGAATTTTCAGGACGATTAGAAAGAATTACTGCAGTCAGATTGTACAGGATTTGACAATTTGCTGCGAGTTGAGTTAATTGTGGTTAGTTTGAGCGGTGGTTTGGGACTGCCATGGATTGGCTCGGTGCAAAAGTGTGGAGACCGGTCGGAATTGATGTGTCTATGGCGTTTCATTTAGTATACGGCATCGCGAAGGTTGATTGCAGGGCGGTTAGAGATAGTATAGAGTAGCCGTACAAGTTGGATTTGGAGTGTTAACGTTGGTGCGTTTTCGTAGGTGTTGTTTAACATGCTTCGGAGGCAAGCAGTGGGAAATTGAAAAGAAAAGCGTAGTGGAGATGACAGCAGTGTTTGCAGTTCAGAGGATGCTCGGGAGGAAGACGAAGAAAATGACTTCATCCAGGAGCAACAGCAGCTGCGGCGTCTCGGATCATTTGTGCATGGAGGAGCTCCCTCATCCAGCTCGGAATCTCACCGTTTCCCGTGTTGTCATCATGGTATCTAGTCTTACTCTTTACTTGTTGTAGGTTGGATTGCATGTTTAGGGTTTATTTGGTTTGTGGGTTTATTAGATACCAAGCAGAGAACTGATTGAGGCAGCTCATACGGGAACGAACTGTGCTGCCGGAAGAAGCTCTTCATTCTTTATTTAGTTGTTCCCGAGATTAGTTGTTTCTGAAGGCGGGCAGCCTCGACTATGATGGGCGAAGGCAGTGCACTTGTGAAGCTGCTCCTTTGGTTTGTAGTCGTAGGAGCCGTAGTGGGATGAATTTTCAAGTTCCACGATGACGAAATGTCATTTGGGTCTATGTAGATCTGAATGCATGTTGATATCAAGTGCTGTAGTTGGGGTTCTAAGGTCATGAACAACAATGTTTGAAAATTCCGAGGCCTTGCAGCTTAACTTGCCTAACTCAACAATATGCATAACTTGCTGTTGGAACTCCATTTGAAATAATCGGTGCCTGTATATTTGCGTGAGATCAGCCTTTGATTGACAGTCTTTCACTGCAGCTTGATGCATTACACTGTAGTATGGCGCAACTCCTTACTGATTTTGGATACTAACCAGGTTTATTTCTCTTTAGTTGCAACACACTGCCGGTTTTAGGCAGCTCTTTCGCAATCGTTAAGTTTACTCGCTATTTTCGTTATGTTTTCTGAACACATTCCGCCGTGCTGAAGTAGCTTATGATTGCAGTAATTGAGAGGTGGTCAGTTTGCATTGAAGTAGTCTTTTCTTACTTCACTGTCTCAAACAAGTTTATCGATTTGCAACTAATTGCTCGTTTACGGCAGCTTCAGTTCATTTTGGATAGTATTTTGAAATAGAAATGCGCGATGAGGCCAGACTTGTGACAGGGTGTGTTGGTGCAGGTCACAGTGGCAGTTTTGGTGGGAGCTCTGACAATCAGTACCTGGTATTTTACACATAGTTATCCGAAAACTGCAGTGGCTACCTTATCAGAATCACTGCGACTTGAAATACTTCTCAACACATCGGAGCTTTTCAATGCGATCTTAAAGACGAATACGTACAGTGCGAATGCTCTTCTCAACCTGATGGATATGAAGTTCTTTGGCCACGATTTTGGAGTCGATTCTCTAGAGAAGGTCTTCAGCTCTTTTCAACCACCTGACTTCACAACGACAATTTTGCAGCGTATTTCTCGGGGATTTAATCATGGAATAATAACTTTGGTGTACTAGTTTAATGTTTGGATGGAGATTTGATGTTGAATAGCTTCAAAACTAACAGCACTAGGTTTTGGCTCCTTTAAACTTTTTTTTTTTTTTTTTTTTTTTTTTTTTTTTTTTTTATTGCTTTGAAACCTCCCTACGTTCATCTCTGAAGTCATACTTCACTATCTCCTCCAAGTTGGGCATTCTGGTTTTTATCCTTGCGACACATTGTGGCGCAGTGCTTTTCAGGCCCTACTAATTATCATCTGCTTGAGCTTGCGAAACCTGCAGCATATTCTTTTGAAAGTAACCCGCCTTTTGACATCGTTGCTCAAATTCTTCTTGCTGTCTCTGCAGATACGGTTAATTACATGGTCCATTTTTACAGCTATGCCTACAATCACAACCTTGGGTGTATCTGCCTTGAATGGACTGACAGCAGTATACTCTCGAGAGGAGCAGCTTTTAGGATACCGTGGTCACCTTTATATATTCTCAAACACTACATCTCAGGATCCCACTTACTATAGGCAGTTTGTTGATGATAATACCGGTGATCCGATTGTACCTGCTATCATAGAGGATTTGAAGCCTTTACACAGAAGGCAGTGGTATCAGAGTGCAATGGAATTACCCTACAGAAACCTTTCCTGGCACATTGAGCGCAGCACGATATGTAAGCGTCTCCCTCGTTCCTGATATAGCATATTGTTTTGCGACTTGTTAGCCGTACAAAGATTGATAATTTTCATTGAGGTCATGGAAACGTTGAACCACATTCTAGTTGCATCAGTTTCTTTCTGCCAATTCAAAGTGAGCTGTTGTACACTTTTACCATTACAAAATTTTGTTTATTAATATAAACTACTTGTGTGATGCAGACGGACATGCTTTTCTGCAGTGTACCATACCCGTGCAATCTCATTCCACTAACGAATTTGCGGTTATCCACTCCGGGCATAGTGCTAGTGCAATTAACAAATTCCTTTCTTCTCTTGATTTGAAAGGTGAGTATGTCCACGAAGCTTTGTAAGATTTCTACTTTGCATTTAGTAGATTTCATATTTTATGAAGTCAGTGGAGAGGCATGGTTGTGATTTTCTGCCAATTTTTAATGCGGCCCCATCATCTGGGTCGTAGCTAGTCTCCATTGACTTCGTCAACGTGCATTACTTCTGGTTTAACCATTCAGATAGTCATGAAGTTAAGGTTTTTAGAGGTTCGATCGATTATTTTTGGTACTTTTAATATTTGCGCGTGTGATATTATTATACGTTTGCAGCATGCACATGCACACACATACTAAAATATGTAGCAGGGGGAAAAGTTTTCATATCAGATCAACTTGGCCGGCTGCTTTTCTCCTCGGATGCTACAGCTTGTGTGCCGCGAAACAAATCTCAGTGTGAAGTAACACCACTACAAGCGGAGTCTGTACTGAACGAAGCAAAGGCTTTCCTACATAATGAAGTTGGGTTGGAGACCTTGGTTAGGGTGCGAACAAGCTTTGCTGACGTTAATTTCAGGGGCAAGCGATATTCTATCGATAGTTGGCCGTATGAATATCATACTCTTAAACTAGGGGTGGTGATTATGATTCCCCGGCACAGTTTCTGGGGGGCCATGGACTACTATACAAGGATAACTTGGATCTCGTTGCCATTGCTCTCAATTGGGGTCGTTTTCATTGGATGCAGTCTTATTTACTTGCTTGTTGAGCAAGTCCAAGCGGAGGAGAAGCTGAGAGCAGAGATACAGAGACAGTCTGAGGCAAAACGCAGGGCGGAAGCCAGCCGAGATGCCAAGACCAACTTCTTGTCAAGTATGAGGTGCGTACACTAATGCTCGATCATTACATTCTCACGTCTCTGTACCTTTTCGTAGCGAAGTTGCTCTTGTTGAGGGAGTGAAGTGAGATATGTATGGATTAGAATCGTGAACCAGAGATACTTCAGAAAAGGTCAGGCTGAACCTTGTGGTTCAACTTTGACTTTATTTCCAAATGCTAATTTTTCGTAATCGACTTTATGTTTTTTCGGGTCAGCCATGAGTTGCGAACGCCAATGGCCTGCATAATTGGACTTCTGGACATGCTATTATCAGAGAAATTACTGGATGAAATTGCTAGTAGTGTGCGGCAGATTCATCGGTGTGCCACTTCCCTTATTGCTATCTTGAATTCTGCTCTTGATATTGCAAAGGTATGTATGGGCTCAATCCCTACCCTCTGCTCGTTTAGTTATTCCTCATGACCTGCTACGCATAATTTTGTGTGATGATGTTCTTGGTTCTTGCTGTATGTGCATCGTCTGATTCGGTAGCTGAACGGTCTCGTATATTTCTCACCTATTTCTCAGGTGATCTTACACCGATCGTTCATCGCACAAAGTTTCTCTTATCAAAATTCATTTTTGATATCGGAGGTTTTTACTGGCAGGTGGAATCTGGAAAACTTGTGCTGGAGAAGGCAGAATTTGACCTTGAGGCGGAGCTAACAGCGCTTATTGATGTCTTTTCCGTGCAGTGTGACAACAAGGGTCTCTTCATCTCACTTCAACTTGCAGGTGATACCATTTAGTCGTGCTCTGCGTCTTTTAACCATTCCAGATGAGTCGAGTTTTAAGCCATTTTTAGAATGTAAGGGTCCCATCATTATGTTTATTTGGTTTTTGGGCACCGGTTATTTAAAATTACCTTAAATGCTCGTGCTATCGGACTCATAGGTGAATAAATTATGAATTCATCAGACAATGTGCCGAAGAACGTGGTAGGTGACTCAGCTCGGGTCATGCAAGTCTTCACAAATTTGATTGGGAACAGCATAAAGTTCACATCTAGTGGAAGGATATCTGTCTCTGCACGACTTGCAACAGTGGAAGATGGTGTAAATCCTAGTCGTGTGCATCGGCGTAGCTTCAGTTCATTCTCTCTTGATATGTTCACCGAGCTTCCAACAAGTGATGAAGTGATCATTCTGTTTGAAGTTGATGATACTGGACCAGGCATTGAACCAGGTGAGGGTTATTGACTATGTCCACCATCAATTTAAATTTGATCGATTTGTTATCGAAGTTCCTGCAATTCTTTATCCTATCATTCATGTGACAGTCCATTCAACCTGCACGTTGTTGTGGGCGCAGCGTTGCGGGAGCGTGTGTTTGAGAATTTTGTTCAGGGCGATGCAAGCACAACTCGCATGTAAGTCACTCATATTCATCCTCAAAGCGATGCAATCTGCCTAATTCCTCCTCGTATGTTCAGTAATCCGTGCTTTTTTCATGGGTTGAAGTCTCACATGATTGATCTTCACGTGTAATGTCCAGGCATGGAGGTACCGGTCTAGGATTGGGGATTGTCAAGTCCCTTGTCCATATAATGGGAGGCAACATCAGAATCGTGGAAAAGGCAGGTCCAGGGTCTGTCTTCCAATTCACAATCTGCTTTCAGCGTTCCTTGAAACCTGAAAGGATGCCCTATATACTACCATCGTCTTTGCAAGGAGCTGAGGTAGTCTTAGGAATTCCAAATGCAGATTGTCGCGCTGTTGCTGCTCATTGGGTCAAAACCTGGGGTCTTAAAGCTCATGAAGTTGGCAGTTGGGAAGAGATTTTGATTCACATGAGAACTCTTAATGGTATTTCAGCAAACAATAACGATGGATCCAAAGGTTTGACCCAGAGGCATCATACAGATTCCGTACAGCCTCTAACATTGGGATTGGATGGAATTACGAAGAATACCTCCAAAGCTTCAACCCAGAAGAGGTCCGGCCGGTATGACTTCTGGAAAAGCTGGCAATCTATTGGTGCAAAGGCATTAAGTGGACAACAACGACAATTATTGGTTATTGACATCAGCCTCTTACCGAGCATTTTGGAGCACGATTATCTTGAGGAATATTTGCAACAGTCAGGTTTTTTGACGGGAAATCACACTGTATGGCTTGATGCTCTCGGGCTTGAGAAACTCCATCTGAATGACCGGCAGATGGGAGACATTCAGCGAAATCTTCTGGTTGTATGGATCACGGCATCTAACACCCCTGAACCTGTGAAGGCAGCTTTACGGTCAGTTCGAAACTCCATCGCTGTTCGGCGGCCACTACATGCAACTCGGTTGAAGGAGCTCCTTCACCAGATAGCAAGTGAAGTGGGAGAGTGCTTGCCAACCATGGATGCTGAAAGGCCTAGAGTACTTTCCTCAAATGCCTTAGCATACGCCAAGCAGCAAGAGTGGGATGACCCATATAGATGTGATGCCGAGGTCTCACTTCCAAGTATTGTTAAGTCGGATGTGTCCCGGTCACTTCCAGTGGCATCCTTCGACAAATTTACTAAAACCATACCTCCAGTATCCCTCTTGTTATCTACCACCGAAAATCAGGACAATAGTCGGCCCCCTAAGCCTTGCAATCTTCGCCGAAGATCTAAGATGCAGCCTCAGAAAGGGTTACCTTCTGAGGGTGGCTCAAAGCTTTTTGACCGACTTGAAATATTGGTGGCTGAAGATACACCTCTTCTGCGGAAGCTCGCTGTTGTCATGTTGCAGAAGCTTGGGGCTATCACACATGAAGCGGGCAATGGACAGGAGGTTTTGGATGCAGTTTTGGATCGTATCCATAAAAGCCAGCCACCTTTCAGCTGTATTCTCATGGATTGTCAGGTGCTGTGTTCAACTTTTGCATATGGTTGAGATTTTCTCTGTATTTATGGGTTTTCTTCTGCAGGGTATACGAGCATTTATCTGTATTGTTTCGGTTGGTTTTGTTTCGTTATTTATCGATTGTAATTAAGAAATGGACGTCGAACTCTGCTCCAATTGTAGGTCACAACTATGAGTTTAAACTTTGATCCTAATGACTCTATGTATAGCAGATGCCAATTATGAACGGTTATGAAGCTTGCAAGGCAGTGCGGGATATTGAACATGAGGGGCAGCATAAAACGCCCATTATTGCCTTAACAGCTAATGCTATGGCTAGCGATGAAAAGAAATGTTTACATGCTGGAATGGATGCTTTTTTGACCAAGCCTATAAATCGAGATCATATGATTAAGGTCATCTTACAAGCAACGGAATCTAAGGCTTCTCATAGAGCTTCCTTGAACTCCAGCGTGGTTGAAGAACTCTCTACGAAGGTTTCACAAAATGGTCTCTCCCGCAGATCAGACCTTTTTCTGTGAAACAATGACCTGGATCATGAACTTGATATGGTTTTAGTAAATATTTATTGTGAATTATTGAAGTCAAATGCTCTCCAACTTCAGAATATTCCAGTTTAAATTCAACACTGATAGTGGGTGCTTAATCAAGACGATCTCTAATCTAGTGTGGTAACCGACAATATTTTGACATTGTTGCCGAAATGTAATAATGCCGTTTCTTGACCCCACTCTTTCAGGACCGGTTGGCAGCATGCACAATAGATGACTTGAGGTCGCTGTCAATTGGCTTTCAATCATCTTCAGAGCAGGTACATACGATTAAACTTCATTTTAATTGGGAATATTATTAAACCTTTTAAAAGGTATGTAACTCATGGCTGCACCACCTACTGCATTGCAGATGCATGCGTGTGGGCTGTTTATATAATGCCAGCTTTCTTGGTGTGGATTCTCAAGTAGTATGGTGCGTTTATTTCGCACATTCGTCTGGCACTTGGTGTCAGAAATTTTGCATTTGGCAGTTCAAATGCTTTCGTAGGTTGCATTGCGTTTACAGAATTTCTGTTGCTACCACCAATAAACATCTCAAGTTTGTCAATAGCAAGTGTTTTGTTAACATTTGCTTTGTTTTCCTGGAGCATTCATTCACTAGTAGAGTATGCCTCTTTAAGATACAGATTTTATATTGACTAATTGACTTGAGTAAATTGATATTTTTATCATTTTTCTATGAGATGACAGATCTCTTTTTAGTTCCAAGTGTTGTTCAGAGTAGGGGTTCGTAGTGAACATAGGCTGTCTAGATGCTGATTATTTGAATACCGAAGTTGATGCAGAAACAGAAGCTCGGGGTCCCAGGGCTGTACTGAATACTACGACATTTAAATCCTTTTCTAGGCGCGGAAGATGTTACATCAGATGGTTTTCCTAAAGCGTAGAACCAAATTTCTTTCGGCGTTTGACGTCTTGATATTGTCCAAATTCTCATCAAGACCTTTATGTGCTTTGTTCATAATTTTTTCTCTACCCGCATTTTTTTTTTTTTTTTTTTTTTTTTTCGGATTGTTTCGTTGATCCGAAAATATAGATATCATCATAAGTATGAATCTCTTGGTTTTATTCTTCCGAAGATTTTTTTGGAGATTCAATTGTGTTTCAAACATTAACATTCCTTAATGCAGCACATGCTGAGTTCTTAAGCAACTGATGGTTTTTCCTAATGTGACAGGCAGAGATCTTGGATCCACTGAGCTATGGCATAGTGCCCAACATCGATGATGCCTTCCTATAGAGTTGTGCCCTGACGATCTTGTCCCAGTATTCTTTGTAGAGGAGATAGGTCTGTACATGTGCCAGGTTTGGATGGTACTTTTTGAAGTAGCCTTAGTTTGTTGTTGGCCTTAAAACACATCCTTGCATTTTGAGTAGGTCTTCAACTGTTGATCCGAGCAAAAAATGTGGTAGTTCTAAGTAGGATCTTGGATGCAGTATCTGCTAAGAACAGAGAAAAGGTCAATACTAAAAATTACCACACAATGATCTGGTGTACAGCAAACACAGTCAGCTCGGCAGTTAATGCTATGCTATGCTTCGTCATAGGTTTGTCTTAATGCAGAACAAGTGACCAGGTAAAATTGCAAAATTTCTCTCGGCCGGACTGCTTAAATGTTTATGTTGTTTGCATACCAATAGTTCAAACGAGGTACTCTTAGACTCACAACCACGTGAATCTTTGTAGTAAGATCCTTCCATGTAATGCTTCAAATTTCTCGGCCTAGACATTGAAGTGGTTGTGAGAATAGCTGACTCAATTTCTATCCATCAAAAGAAAGAAAATTGGTCAGAAACCACATTAGAGGACCAAGTCTCAATCGATGTGGTTGTAAAATACTTAGCGCCGTCATTTAGTTTGAAACAAGCGTAACATAATGTCCTTGTTCCTGGTAATTTTTAAATACAAAGGAAACAACACCTCTTATACTCTGATAGATGCTCAATTACGCCTCAAGCTGTAATTATGCGTTACAGTCCGATAGATGATGAATTCCTCCCAAGTTCTTCTAAATACAGAGAAATAAATGGATCTGCACAAGCTCACGTAATCAATTAATGTACGAGGCACTTTTCTGAAATATATATAGATCTTCAGGAAAGTATGAAGTCAAACCGTTGGGTTTTGAATTGCAATGCCATCTGTTTCCATCCCATGTTCCCATTTCTAGGCCAATTTTTAGATTTCAACTTACCTTTACCCTCTCATAGCGGTTGTATGGGCAAGCTATGAAATACAAGCTAAAATACGACATTTTCCTCTTGCACTGAATGACCTAGTTAGCAGAAGGCGAACTCTCCCCAACTCTAGGCAACAACTGCTGCATTTCAGATGTTACCAGATTACTATAAAAAAATTCTGGTTCATAATTGTAAAGTGGGTGTACTATTCACAAAACTAATATACTAGGTGCACTAGCAAGTTCACTAGATTGCTGAAGTTAAGAGTGTATCTTCTCTGGCAGGAGAGGACTCGTAAGATGTGAAACTGTAAAAACTAGAAGCAAGATAATCAGGTTCCTAAACACTAGAATGAAGATAATCAAATTTTAACACATCGAAAAGTTTTCAAGTTATTGCACAAAAATAAACTTACTCATGTAGAGTTTTCCAGCAACACCCTGCCACATGGTTTAGAAGGCGTTTCTGTAATCGACATCCAAGCTTAACAGTTAACTGGGCACACTGATGGCAACTTCAACACCAAGCATGCACTGCAATCATAAGCTGTTGTCTAAATGTAATTAAATACCCCTGAACAGCTTACAAGTAATCTAATATCAGCCTGCAGTAGCCTAGTCAAAAGCTGCCAATTAACGACCAGCACTAAGGTGAAATATGCCCCATCCTGAACCACTGAACATATCCGAACGGTTAAGTGTCTGCTAGTCCCTGGACTGTCTGCTCAATATTTAGGGCACATTTTTCAACAAAGTGTACATATTAACAAATGCTCACAACAAAAGCTGCTAAAGAATCACAGTCGAAGTCACAGAACATTCCAGACTCATTTAGAACATAATCAGATCATCAGCATTTTGCTTCTTCGACTTCTGTCTGCTCCCTTCGGCTTCAGATCTGTTGCCGAATATCATCTCGTCAAGATCTGCCATGGCAGTGTCGTCGTGTGCCGAGGAGAGAGGAATGCTAGGCTTTGAGTCACGCTTCCGCACTAGCGTGGCTTCTTCGGCAGTGCCGCAACTGTAGTCATCATCCAAGGCTTGCACATGGACGAACGTGGCCTCTGCTGGTTGAGGTTGCTCAGCAGTTCCCTTCGACATCTCCTCGAATTTTGTCAGGACGCGCTGGAGATCGTCGTACACGTTCAGTGCCTCGAACAGCACTGGGTCACCATCGCTGGTCCTCTCAACGATTCTCTGCACTTTGATCTGACAGCTCCGGCACTGTTCAACTAGGGTCAATGTTAATTCATCCTGCAACAACAATATTGATGATGTAAGTTTCTATGTTAAATATGATCCAAATTCGGAGGCACTTGCAAGGTCTTAAAACCAAGGCGAACATATCATAATCCAACCAGATAATATTTTTCCCTGATGTACTACGAATCTTACAAAATTGTGAGATTCTATTTATGAAAAAATAGAAATAAAGCGATTGAGTTATACCCTCACCTTGAGAACTTCCTGCTGAGGAGATGACGTCAAAACCGTGTTCAGAAGCTCAACACTGTTGCGAGCCACATCGAAGACCTCCTTAAAATCTGTTGAGCTCACATCATGAGCCACAAAGCCACTCATATCCCTGGAATGAACGCTACCGTCGAACCCTCCAGATCCTGCTGTGTTAGACGTTTGGACGGACTGCGGCGGGGTAAAAATCGGCGCAAGGCTCTCCTCATCTCGTCCTGGGAATCTGATTCCTCTGGATTTCAAGCTCTGCAGCAATACAATGTCCATTAAAATTGGGTAGGCATCGCTTCTACCCGATAAGTTGAAAGCCAGCATCCCACAATATAGTGCTGAGGACCTCTTGAACATTAAAGCCTCAGCGATTCTGAAGTTGATCAACGCGGAATGCAAGGCCTAGTGGCAAAATTCACTCGAGGTTCCTGCCCCATAACCTGCCCCGAAATCTGGCGATGAAACCTTACACCCTACCACAGCTGAACCCCAACAGTGCAACGAAGGTCCAAAGACTCAAGCTTCCAACTCTCTGTACAGAAGTCTCCCTCTTCGAATCCAAGTTAGTTCCACGCTCTCACTTCGTAAAGTATAGGTTTAAGGTCCAGCAACGCAAGCATGCAGGCCTCAGAGCCGCAATCGAGGAGGCAGAAGAAAATCGACTGTTCGATGAGCGACAATGTGGAAAAAAAAAATTAGTCACAAAGTTGCAGTGCTCAACAGGTTCTTCTGTGTTTTCGAAATGATAGACGAAAGGAGAGAAAAAGAGAAGACAAGAGCTCAAAGCTGACCTTGTAGGTTTCCTCGAAAATTGGTAGGTACCGGAGCTCCTCGGTGGACTCGCCCCAGGCTTCGATCAGTTTCAGGGCTTTCTCGCGATTCGCGGTGGACGTGCTGCGATCGTCCACCATCCTCACCATCTCGTGTAGCACCTTTTCTGAAGCCACTTCCGAGAACATCTTCTCACAGTTCTTCACCATCGTCTCCAACAGCATGAGGGCCAAATACTGAATCTGAGCATTCTTCAGCATAATCCGCTTCTTGACAGCTCTCGCTGCGTCCTGTCCGCTAACCTTCTCCATACTGATCAAATCGCATATCTCCAGGTTCTTCTCCCAATCTGCCAACTCCATATTCTCCCCTGTCGCGTCCTCCACGAGCTTGTCCGCGTGAGTCGGAACCTGGAACAACTCCTTCATTTTGTCACTCACGGTGGACATCCGCTCGCTCATCTTACGGCTCAACTCCCCGCTCCCAGTCTTAACCTTCTCCCCGAAGGCACTAAACTTCTCCTTGAGGTTCGCCGTTTCCATTGCTCCTCTCCTTCCCCTCTACCGATCCAAACCCTCGGTCTGTCTAAAACTGAAAATACTCCACCACGGCACCAAGACTCTGCTTCAATCGCCACGATCCAATGTGAAAATCAATCAACCAGCAACCCTAAACACGAGAATTCGAATCCAAGAGGCAGATAAACACATACACAAACAAATTATCAAGGCGTAGCGCAATTGGGATGGCCAGGAAAACAACTTACCAGACACCTTCGCTCTCTCACCACTGCAGCAAGAGCAGCAGCAGCAGGGAGCAGCAGGGGAGCAACGTCGACGCTGCCCGTCATCGCCTCTGGAGGGAAGCCCTGCCCCGTATATGAATGTGTTTCATTCGTGACGATGAAATTTCATCGATGGATGAATGCGGGAGCTTCCGACGATTTCGTCGGTTGCGTATTCGTGCCCCATCTCCGTGGGTACGTACGCGGATGTATTCGTTGGTCCTGGCTTATGGTAGAATATCAGGAGTGAGCTACTTCCGTATGAGAAGTTGTAGCATGTTGTACGTCTGTTTAATGCTACATTGTCGTGTAAGGGTTCATGAATTGTGTGAAAAATGTTGGTGAGTTATGCTCACATGATATGACCAAATGAAGTGAATGTTCTATTTAAATTCTATTATTATACAGTATCATGTGATTCATTAACTATTTTTAATGTTATTTTACCAAACATATTGTTTTCCTTTGATAAAGATTCTTAGTTTTTTTGTAATATGCTTATTAAATATAATAATAGTTAAAAAAAGAAAATATATTATAATGACTTACATAAAATAAAATGAAAAATTTATATTTTGTTTGAATTATTTCATTTGTAATTCAAAATATTTATATGTGGTTATAAAAGAATTTGAATAAGTTTTTGGATATACATGTGTGTGATTATATATATATATATATATATATATATATATATATATTGTTAGTTAATTACTTAGTTAGTGTTTATTTTAAGAAAAATATAATTCATATCCCTCAAATGTTGAAATGTCAAGAATACTCCTACATTCTTGATAATAGCAAATGTACCCTTGAGTATGATAAGTTATCTCCAATCTCACCAAAGTCCCTGGATTCCGTTATTATTTTTTGTTTTATATGTGGCACAAATCTCGTGCCTTTATGAAGTTTTGTTTGTTCGGCACTCTCGCGCAGCTGCGGCTGCAGCCCCCTCGTCATCCGTCCTCCGTCATACTTGGGCCAGGAATTCGCTCTCGCCTCCTTCCGCAAACAGGAAGCCGATCACCTCATGCTTCCCACAGAGGCTGCCAACGGAGTCAGGAATGGATCCACTGAGAGCGCCGGATGAGATTGCTAGTGTCTGGATGTAGAAGAGGTCGAAAGGGAGTGAGGAAGGCAGTCGCTGAGGCCTCGTAGGCCGGCGGTAGGCGGGCCAAGAGACAGCGAGGAAACGCGGTTGAAGCTCCCGACCTTGACGCACTCCACCCTGACGAATGACTGGCACGGGTTGATTCGTAGTGCAAAGACCCATGTGGAGAAGAAGCTTCCGCCGGGGAGATCGTTCATGGTGGCATTGATGGAGCGCAGCGCAAGCATATCGATTTTGGAGCTGGGATGCCCTCACAATGGCTAGGGGTAGGAGAAGGGATGCGCTCACAATGGCGAGGACCACCACCGCTTGAGCAGATTGATGCCATGACTTCGGGTGAGACCTTCGACGTTCTGTGTAATTTGGTGAGGCTACGTTTGCGTGGGGTTGAACTGATCGGAGGTGAGCGAATTCGTTGCCCCTGAATGAGTTTATTTATTTATTTTTGTTTGTTTGTTTGTTTGTTTGTTTTTTTGTTTTTTTTGTTTTTTTTTTTTAATATAGTTGTTGTTGTTGTTGTAGTGTGGAGCTTCGAGAAGTTCAGCTACACCGGCGCGGTTTCTTATCCACCATCCAACTCACCGCTTCGTCTACTAAAAAAATAACAGCCCTGATTCCACAATCCTCACCCAGTGATACGCTTTGATCCTTGAGAACCAGTGTGGACTGGGCACTGCAAACATTGAAATAATTTAGAGTTGAGCGTTTACATGTAGAGAGCATTCGATCAGTACATCGTAGCTGCTGTAAAGCAATTAACTGCTGAAAGGTATCCACAGGGCAATTTGTGAAGCAATGAAGGCAACAATTCACGGGAGATCATATGGTTACACGACATTGATAATTATGAGGCTTACCAGAGCGAATAAAGAAATCTAAGGATTATGCTTCCGGCACAGAGCAATTATTGTGTCAATTACGCTACTGAAACAAATTAAAATATCACCTCAAGCAATTAAGCTAATGTTGCAAGGTTGAACGGAGTTTGACCGGAGGTTAGTTTCAACCTTGCAAAATACCAAACAGCAGGAAATGCTTCAGGGTCGATTAGTATAATAAAAAATTCCAGGATTGTGCCAGATTATTTCAAACTCTTCCAATATGAAAAATTTAAGGTGGCCGAAGAGCTCGTTAGTGACTGCGACAGTTGCAAAGTTCTGCAAATAGGCTCCAGGAGAGGCGCGTGGATTGCAAATCCCTTGCAACTTGGTCACGACCAACAGCTTCGTTTGATAATAACATGCATCCAGCTCTGTGTCTTCGTCCTTTTGGATGAATTCCAGATTTGTGATCAGCGTACCCGGTGATCGGCTTCCTGTTTGCGGAAGGAGGCGAGAGCGAATTCCTGGCCCAAGTATGACGGAGGACGGATGACGAGGGGGCTGCAGCCGCAGCTGCCCGAGAGTGCCGAACAAACAAAACTTCATAAAGGCACGAGATTTGTGCCACATATAAAACAAAAAATAATAACGGAATCCAGGGACTTTGGTGAGATTGGAGATAACTTATCATACTCAAGGGTACATTTGCTATTATCAAGAATGTAGGAGTATTCTTGACATTTCAACATTTGAGGGATATGAATTATATTTTCTCTTTATTTTATTTTTTAAAAAACTTAAAAGTATTAAAAAAGACGTTGAGAATTTTTTGGAGAATTTGAATAATTTAATAAAATATTTGAAGGATATAAAATAATCTAAGAAATTATATCAAAAGTTAAAAGAAGTGTTTGTAATATCATTTCTTTGTCTTAAATAAAAATTGTGTAGAAACTTAGAAATTCAAAATATTAATAAATTTATAAATATATATACATATTAATTATTTATATTTATTTAAATAATATATTGTTATTTTTATATTTTAAGGCCTTAAGAACATATTCAACTACAAATTGCTACAATTCTATTTATTATAGTTACAACTTCTACAACTATTATAAATTTAAATATAGTATTTTAGATTTAAGTTATAATTATTGAGTAATAAGCCAAATACTAACTTGTATTATATTATTTAACCTCACAATGTGTCATTTGTGTAATCTTAATAATTCTTTATTACTCTATTAATTGTGTAAGCAAAAAAAAAAAAAAAAAAAAAAAAAAAATCACAAATGGTTGTTTGATAATTAAATTATATAAATTACTCTTTTTCTACTATTGTCAAAAAATGTAGTATTATTTTTTATGAATTATCTATATTAATTTGATCTAATAAATTATTGTAACAATAGTAATTCCAATTCTATACATTTTTGTTAATATAATTATATAGATTACTTCATATGTTTGTGGGTCGAGCACATTCTAACTTGTCTTTATTCACAAGCTTGTGTTGAAGTGGTTTTTTTAAATATTAAGTTTTGGATATACACCATTCTATTTTGGAATAGATTTAATAGATTTACTTTAAATAGGTCTCTATCAATATTAGATCTATAAATTTTACCATTATGTACTATTCTTTTTTCTTGTTTAGTCTTGCTAAAGTTATATTGAATTTTGTTTAAATTTATAGATTTCTTCTTGTACAAATAGATTTTATTGTAATGCTATTCTATTATGTATTTTCTTATTTATGATCTGTAGTATATTGTAAATATATATATATATATATATATATAAGTAGAAATGATACACTAAAAATATATATTAGATCTTTAATCTATAAATAAGATTAATTTGTCACAAATGGATTTTTTTAAAAATAATGAAAATAAAAAAATAAAAAATAGCCTTCTATATTTTTTTACTTATAATAAAAAAAAAATCTTTATTTTTTCTTAAAAAAATAAAACTAAAGGTAGATAACATATATAATGTATGATTAGAAATTTCTACAATCTTAACAATTTGACAATATCACAATTCCACCACAATTGCAATAAAGGTTGTTGAAATATGTGCAACATCATTAATATTAATTTTAAAATTTACATATAAACATGGTTGCTAATGTTAAAGTAAATGTTCTATTTTATCTTTTCATTGTTGACTATTGTTCTTTTTATACTTGGATTTTTTAGCTTACAATTATTTTAAATAATATCCAACATGATCAATTTTTCCAAAATTATTTCTATACATTAAGAAGTAGATCTTGCTACTAATTTGACATATAAACTCTCTAAGCTTTTAACAACATAAATTATTTTATTATTATTTATCAATGATTAAGTTATTTTGTATCAAAAAAAATATTACATCTAAAATAGAACTCAACTCAAATTTTCAATGTTTAAGTATTGTTATGGATATACGCATGTAAGGTTGTAATTACATGTATAAATAGATAGAAGTAAGTAAAAGTAGGTAAAAATAAGTTAATTCTATAATATTTGCTATAAAAGCTTCCTAAAAGCTTCATAGACATTGCTTTGACTTTGTAGGTGTCTTTAATTGACTTTTTGGATTAGAAACGTGGTCAACAAGTTAGCCATGTACCACACATGTTATTAGCTTAAAGACCAAGCTAACTACGTGGCCCACACGTAGAAAAACTTACCTTGTAAGTCAAGGCATGTGTCTTACAAAGTCAACACATATTAGAGGTCCTACAGAACATCACCATGTAGCCCCTAGTTAGATAGTATATATAGAGACAAGAGTGAAGCCTTCTTCACTCTTGTCAACTCCTTTCTTGCTTCCAGTCTAGTTTCAAGGGTCTCTAGTTTTCTTGGCTTTTGGACAATAGCCATTTCAATTTTTTTTTTAATATACATATTAAGTTATTTCTATTTTGTTATCTTTCTTTGAGATAAATCTCACTTGTTTATTTGTTTTTATCATGTTTTTGTCCTTGACAAGTATTGACTAATTTGTAGAAAATAAATAATATAATTATTTAAATATATATATATATATATATTTTTTTTAATTAGAAAATTTTGGTATTTTTTAATTAAAATAAATTATTTGATTGTTTGACTATTTGTTTATTTGTTTTGTTTTGTTTTGTTTTTTTTTAA